AGATAGATAGATAGATAGATAGATAGATAGATAGATAGATAGATAGATAGATAGATGCTCTGTGCAGAACAAAGACTGATATGCAGAGGGTGGGGTGGCATCAACTATTCAAAGCTCAGGTATAGAGTATCCTGTTGTGTTTGATTTCCCAACTTGGTGCCATCTAAATTTTCTGGGATTGCTACCATTTCTAGAAAGGCCAGTTGGCTAGGAATTATTGACATTAGAGGCCCATCAGTCTGGAGAGTGCTAGATTAACTGAGCTATATGATGCAGTGCATCTCTCCCTATGAGAATTGTGGGTAGCCAGGAACATTGGAAAACTGAGAAAAGAGCTGTAGCAAAATGGATAGCAGTGATGTGGGGGGGAATATGGTCTAGTAGGGCATGAAAGGCAGAGTTGATCAAAGTGAGAAGCGCAGGGATTTAGAAGACACTGTGGCTGAGATGAGCTGATTAAGCCCCTTTCTACTAACAATCTACATGGGTGAATGGAAATAAAATGAGAAGGATCTATAGCATAGACCAGTGTTTCTCAACCATAGCAACTTTAAGATGTCTGGACTTCAACTCCCAGAATTCCCTAGCATGCTGGCTGGGGAATTCTGGGAGTTGAAGCCCAGAGATCTTAAAGTTGCCATGATTGAGAAACACTGGCATGATGTGATGGAATGTATCTACAAGGAGGACAGTGATGTGGGAGATCAAGGCTATCAGGAAGGAGGGGGTGCATTCCAGGAGTGGGGAGTAGGCAAGAGGCTGCATAGTCTGCAGGAGGAGCGTGGGAAGCAAAAAAGGTTCAGGATAGCCACTCCCTAGAATCTCCCAGGGTATATCCACTAGTTGCTGTAGTATAGATTTAGTTTGGCAAGATACTGTAAGCTAATAAAGGGACTGGACTGGACTGTTTCATCGTTGTTCTTAGGCTGGGCCTGGCACATAGACAGTACGTGCTATGGAGCTACAAGGTCTTAGGTAGCATAGCAAGGATAGACATGCAGGAGGAGCGTGGGAAGCAAAAAAGGTTCAGGATAGCCACTCCCTAGAATCTCCCAGGGTATATCCACTAGTTGCTGTAGTATAGATTTAGTTTGGCAAGATACTGTAAGCTAATAAAGGGACTGGACTGGACTGTTTCATCGTTGTTCTTAGGCTGGGCCTGGCACATAGACAGTACGTGCTATGGAGGTACAAGGTCTTAGGTAGCATAGCAAGGATAGACAACTCCTTTCCCACCCATACTCCTGCCCCATCCCCATCCCAGATGTTTATGGATTTTATTTTTGAGCAGCCTAGGTTTCCAATCATAATATGATTATTTTAGCCTTCTCTTTGCAGCTGCAAGGAGACATCACCAGGGACCTCTCAATGCTCTTGGTGATAGCTCCAGACACTTTTAACTTTCCAGTCCTATGTCATATGGATTTCATTTTTCAGAATCAGTTGCAAGCCACATTTGATCTAGTCAGTTTTTCACTAGGGGAAAATTTTTAAAAAGGAAGAATTTTTTGAATGTGTAAATGAAAATGCTACATGTAAATGAAAATGACCTATTTGTGTACTGTTGATGGTGGTTGAAAACTCTGACTGGATGGACATCCCCTAAGTCACAGAGAGATAGAGCAGATAGAACAATGGCTGTCATTGGCTTGACTGCTCTCATCTGAAGAAACTCTGGTTGGGTTTCATGATCCTTTACAGGAGGTTGGCCAGGCAAATGTCATTATGGAAAAAGCCACAAAAAGCCAAACAACAGGAAAATACACTGGAGCCTTTTCCACAAGTGCTAACTTCATCAGAACATTAAACCATTTTCTTCTACAACCAGTTGCTCTCTAGATGCTTTGGACTGTACTTCTCCTAATTCCCAACCAGCACAGCCATGACTATCATCCAATACATGTGGAAGTTATGTAAATTGGGAAAGCTATCTCACATCCTTCTGTGGGAGGAAGAATGGCATATAAATGATGGTAATCATGATAATCATAATATCTTTCAAGTAGGTTGGAATAGCCATGTGATGTGTCATGCACCAAGAGATGCTCCAGATCTAGCTTAGAGCTGGAGATCCAACCATTTATTTACTTATCTCCATTTCCCAACTTTTTTCTATGTATAGGAATGCCTTTTTTAGCTTTGTAACATAGGTCTTGGCAATGGATTCTAGCAGGGCTCAAACATTAGAAGAACCCTGCTGGAACCAGATGAAAGTAGGTTCATCAAAACTAGAATCCTGCTTTCAGTAGGGAAGCCTACAATCATGAAAAAAAACCTGCCTCAGCAATACATCTGAAGGGTTCTGCCACTCAATATGGAGTTTTCATTTAGTTACCTTCATTCATAGCCATTGATTGACTTTTCACCTTTGTCTGTGAATTTGTCTAGTCCTCATTTAATGCCATCCACAGGAGTGATGGTAAGTGTTGTTTACCCACCTTTTAATGCCTAATTCCTCTTTCTCTCTTTGCTTCTTCCTTGGTGGTCTGGTTTCTGGGTCTGGAACACAGTTGGATCTTGGTGATACTGACAGTGATGAAGAGATCTTGGAACGAATTCTGGAAATGCCATTGCAAAAAAATTGCAGCAAGGCTCTGTTTAGTATTCCTGAAGTGACTGAGGAGGAGGAGGAGGAGGAGCAGGAAGAAGACGAAGAAGGCTGGGACCCTGTCCTAAACCAACCTATTTCCACCCCTCTGGAAAAGGAGGCTGTGGAGAGCTTCCAGGGTAGGCTTCCTAACCATACCAGAAGAATACAAGGTCCACTCTGTGCTCGGTCTAAAAGGAACCACAATCTTTCAGAGCTGATCTTACCTGAAAAGAGCATTCTACAGAAGTTCAGAGGAGAGTGTGTGAATGAAATATCCACTTGCTCTGGAAGATGGGATGGTGAAGAAATGACCTATCAGTGGGATGATCTTAAGAAACCATCAAGGTCTCCTCTTCTGGAATGGAGAAGATCCAGTCATTGCAAGGAGAAGACCCGTGTCCAACCCCAGGGACATAGGAAGCGAAAAGCAGACATCCGAGAGTGCAGTGTTTCTATGCGGAGCAATTCCTACTACACTGGAGGTGGTCTTTACAGAGCACAGAGCCTCACAGAGAATTTGGATGTGATCACCAGCCTTGGGATGGAGGATGACTTGAAGCTGTGCAGCTGGGCAAGACAAAGGCCTGATCAAATTTCTTCAAGGAGAATGATGCCCCAAGAGAGAAAAGAGAAAGCTGTCCAAGGCCTCCCCCACTGCCTCAGTCCAGAGAGTTTGGAGATTGACATTGAGTATGATTCAAATGAGGAAGAGGATTTAACCATCACTTCTACTCCAGTGAGCCAGTTGAGTTCAGATGGGAGGGCTGATGGATCTCCAACAGATTGTGAGGAGGAATGGAGTGACTGCTCTAGCCAATCAGGGTCAGTCCAATCCAATGGGCAAAGAGAACTGAAGCGATCCAGCAGTTGGGAGGGAGAGAGCACGGATTGGAGCACATCCCCCGGCCATTCACCTGGGCATTGTGGTTGGAGGAAGAGGGCCAATGGTGCCTCAGAAGAATGGAACAGGACTTGCGAGAGAAGTCCCTCTGTCTTGGGAGCCAGGCCAGAGCAGACTTGGAAGGAGGGCCCACTTGTGCAAACATGGGTCTGTGAGACGCTTCCTTCACCAGCTGGCATTGTTACAGCAGCTTGCCACAATTCTGACTGTGCTTTTGACCCTTTGCTCCCATGCTTGCTTGCATTCTGCTTATTGTGTTGAGTGCTTTACAAAATAGAGGCTTCCGTTTTTAATTTGAAACTTACAGCACATTTGTGATACTCCTTGTGGGCTTTTCTCATATTTTGCTTTGGGATTGGCTACCAATCAGACATCACTGGCTGAAAATTTCCAATGCAGTATTCCTCTTCCCCGATTAACTTTTAGGAAAAGTCTGAAAACTTAAATATCCTCTATGGTAAATCCCAAATCTCATGTTCTTTTTGATTTAGAAAACCTTCCAGAATGAGGACCCATCTGATCAGTTTGGTCTACAAATAATTTATATCAGTATAACCTTGGTTGGTAAGATCTAGTGGTCTGCAATGTTTAGAAAACTCAAAGGAAATGAGAATTTCTCAGTTTCATGGCAAATACCAGGTCTCACAATGAGTGGGGAATGTTTAATTATGGTGTCAAAATGGCAGGTTCAGTTTAACTGGAAAACAAAGTCTATGTCAGACATATACAAAAAAATCAAGCTTCACATGACTGATTTGACATAGTAATAATGCAATTTATTTTGGCTGCTCATGCAAATATGTTGACCTGTCTTATAAAAGATCACAGTGCAGTTTTGTCATTTTGGGCTTGTGGAGAGAAAGCTGGTGCCAACAAAGCACTTACAGCCACTTTGAAGAGAAAACTTGCACATTACTAGCATAGGCATTACCAATTCATACAGGCGTAACCATTCTACGTTATGCCTCTTCAGACACGGATTGCCTTTAAAGTTCTGAGATGTATGGTTGGCACATTGTCCAATCCAACTCTGAGTTGATGCCAGCCTTGCCTAACCGGGCATTTTTCAGATGTGTGGACTTCAACTCCAAAATTCTCCAAAATTGCCATGCCCATTGCTGAGAATTCTGCAGTTTGGAGAATACCAAGATTGGGGAAGGTTAATTTATGCCATATATTAGAGAACGGAGACAAGGCTAGAGCTGATCTTGAATTGTACACAGTGGGTGTTTGGACTTGCATTGCCAATCAGACTACATGATGTAGCAATTTTGCCTTGCCTCCTTAACGGATTTTCTGTGGTAAGAAAAAAGATAAGAGAAGCAGCAAGAAGTCAGGAGATGGGTGCAGCTGGAATTTATATATCTGGATTTCTTATAGCATTCTGTGAATGAAGCAAGGTCATTGCGCAACAAAAGCCTCATTGGGAAGCACTCAGAGTAGGCAAATTTCAGAACTCTTATTCAGGCCAAACATCTGCAGGAATTTTGGATTTCACAGTTTTGAGAAAATGATTGAATGTCCTTTCGGAAATGCGGGTAGCGTATCACTTTAGATGAATTTCATCTAAAACGAGGCAAAGCAACTATAGCTATTTTGAAGAGGGTTTTAACAGTAGATGTTTCTGAGTTGGCCTGGGCTGAGTGTGGCTCATCTATGGTTACTTGCACCCTGGTCTCACCATATGGGATTTGACTTGCTTTTGGTCAGTGTTTTCTGAAAACGCTTCCAGAAGAGGAATGCTGCATTCTAGCCCTTTGCATTTTGTGTTTTTGCTGCAGGTTGTAGCCAAAATGTCAATGGACAAACACACAAGGGTGGTCTTGGGACTGATTCTGCCAAGGGTTCTTTTTCAGGTGGCAGGTAGTCCTGGGTTGTTGGACTCGACATCTTATCAGTCCCCCGTCCAAAGAGGCAGAAGGTCTCCAAGAAAAAGCCAAGAAGGGTCAGCATCTCTCAGTGGAAATATTGGTGAGTTAGTTGCAGTTTCCATTAGGGCTATTTTAAAGTGGGGGCAACGGGGACAATTTTAGCAAGAGTTGAAAAAGTATGGTCCAACCCTCCTTACAAGATCATGTACATGAAGGAGAAGGTGAAGGAATCAATTAGAATCACAGGATCAACCCCATCCTTCCAAATTCACAGGCACAGCACCAGAGCCAGGAATTCTGTCCTGATAGACAGGCTCAGACCAATGGTGGATTGCTTTTGTGTCCTGGTTAGGAACTTGGAGGAGCCCCTCCCTTGAATTGGCAGATGACGGGGCCTCAGCACGACTGTTTGTGGCTCTTTTTGACTATGACCCTGTTTCAATGTCCCCTAATCGGGATGCTGCTGAAGAGGAGCTCCCATTTCAAGAGGGCCAGATTCTGAAGGTACGAGCAACAACAAGAAGAGACATATTGGCAGGGCTCAAGCATATGGTCATATGGTAGGTGAATCTAGACTCTCTGATTTATAAATAAAGTTTATGGCTTAGCAGGATGCGTGACTGTGGCCAATGATTTGGCTCCAAAATCCACTGCTCAGAAATACCTTTATTAGAATAACCAAAAATATGTGGAGAAGCTTTGCTGTTCTCCAGGACTGCCATTCTCCAGGACTGAGTGCCATCAAGCTTGGAGGCAGAGAATGCTAGAGAATAATCACAAATTTAATTTATTTTCAATTTTTTTGTATTATCTACTACACAGAGAGAGAGAGAGAGAGAGAGATACCTACTGATTCTACCATTCCCCCCACACCCCAAAAAAGC